AGGGGCAGCTGAGCGGGGCAGGTGAAGAGGAGCCGGTTGGGTTCGCCTCGAGTGGGGGTTGCCAGGTGGATGTAATTAACAGAGGAGGAGAATGATGTATTAGGAGGGGCCAGCTGCTGTAACAAAGAGCCCCCAGATCGCCCTGGTGAGTACCACAAAACTTTGCTTCAAGCTCATGTTAAAAGCCTTCTTGGTTCCTGGTCAGGGGTCTCTCCTCCAGGGGGTCACTGTGAGATCCAGTTTCCCTCCTTCTCGTGATGCTGTTGCCTTCACTCTGCAGCTCCCTAGGTCACCAGGAAGTGGGAAGGAGGTGTGAAGGCATGTCAAACATTTAACCTCCGTGGCCCTGGAGGGGCGCGTCTGACCTCCGTGCGTGCCACAGTCCATCCATGTGTGGGCAGGCAGCCTACCTTCCACGCGGAGATCCAGGGAACCAGGAACTTTGGGGTTTCCGTGTTGTTGTTTTCAGCTGCGCTGGGTCTTTGTCGCAGCCCATAGGATCGTCGTTGCAGCAAGCAGGATCTAGTTCCCAGAACAGAGATTGAACCCGGGGCCCCCTGCCTTAGGAGCAGAGTCTTAATCACTGGGCCGCCAGGGAAGTCCTGAAGCAGGCACTTTGGAAGGAGTGCCCCTGCCCTGGCTTCTCCCCCTGGATCCAGAGAAGCAGGAGGGCAGAGAGGCTCCCCTAGGACACAAGGAATCTCATGGTCCTAGCCCACAGCAAGGGGAGGGGTTACAGGGAAGTGTGGTCTTCCCATGTTCAAAGGAAGGAGAAGGGAGCCCAAGTAGTGGGAGTTATCAACAAGTCTCTGCCAGGAGGGTGGGTTTAAGAGGCCGTGGTAATTGCAGCTTGATCCGAGGGTTGAAGAAGATCAGAAATGGTGGCCAGGGTGCTTCCCTGGGGGTCAAGTGGCTAAGACTCTGCGGTCCCAACATAGGGTGCCCAGGTTCCATCTCTGGTCAGGGAACTAGATCCCACATGCCACAATGAAGTTTGAAGATCCTGCATGGGGCAACTAAGACCCAGTGTAGCCAAATAAATAAATACTTTAAAAAATAGAAAGAAAAGAATAGAAGTGGTAGCTAGGGAAGGTCCCAGTGGAGCACACTTAGATCAAACAATAGGAGCTGGTGGATCCAAAGCAGGATGCTGTAAAGGGCTATTTCTGGTGGTGAAACAGCACAGTTCAGTTCAGTCACTCAGTCGTGTCCGACTCTGCAATCCTGTGGACTGCAGCACACCAGGCTTCTTTGTCCATCACCAACTCCCAGAACTTGCTCAAACTCAAGCCCATTGAGTCGGTGATGCCATCCATCCATCTCATCCTCTCTTGTCTCCTCTTCTCCTGCCTTCAATCTTTCCCAGCATCAGGGTCTTTTCCAATGAGTCAACTCTTTGCATGAGGTGGCCGAAGTATTGGCGTTTCAGCTTCAGCATCAGTCCTTCCAGTGAGTGTTCAGGACTGATTTCCTTTAAGACTGATTGGTTTGATCTCCTTGCAGTCCAAGGGACTCTCAAGAGTCTTCTCCAACACCACAGTTGAAAAACATCAATTTTTTGGTACTCTGCTTTCTTTACGGTCCAACTCTCACATTCATACATGAATACTGGAAAAACCATAGCTTTGACTACATGGACCTTTGTTGACAAAGTAATGTCTCTGCTTTTTAATATGAGACATATTAAATAATGTCTCATATTAAATAATGAAACAGCAGAGGGCCCCCAGCATATGACTCAGTGCGGGTAGACGTGTGGACAAGAGGCCAGGAGTACAGAGTTCTTTCTCTTTTCACCGCCAGCTGTGGGCCAGGCTCTGTTTGAAGCTCTTGGTAACTAACTATTCACTTATTTAATCCTCTAACAACTGTATGAGGTAGGGGCCCAAATTGTTCCCACCACCGCTGGTATCCCAGCACATGCATTCACGGAGGAGCATGCCCTGGAGGAGGACGAGGACTAAGGGGTGGGTAGAGGCAGCGGCCAGCACAGGTGAGGTGGGGCGGGGGTGGGGGTGGGGGTCTCATGGGCAGGAGGACCAAGGCTGCGGGCCTTTGGGGTAGGAGGTCACTGCGGGGGCCTAAGTCTGGAGGTCTGGCTTCCTGGGAGAATCTACTAGTGGATTCCACTTGACTTCCGGGGGTCAAACCTTTGCCCCAAGGCTCCAGGAGCTGCCCCCGGCCACCCCCGCACCCTCCCCCGGCCAGTCTGGCGCCACAGCCTCGGGCGGTGCCTAGCTGTTATCTGGTAAATATAAGCTGTAATTGCAAAAGCGACTTCATCAAGCTGGTCGGAAAAAACCGGAAAAGCCTTTAGCTGCTCCTGACGAACACGGGAGCGGCTCCCACCGGGTCCCAAGCCGGGGAGGGGGCTTGTAGAGCAGGGGAGGCCTGTGCCCCCAGCCACCCGCCCCTCGGCCCAGTGCCCTCTCACCGGACAGTGGCCGGGGGGCGCAGGAATCCTCCCCCGCCCTCCTCCCCGAAGCCCTTGGCCTTGGAATTTGGCCTGGCAGCTGTAGGGGGGTGCTGGGAACGGCTGCTGGTTTCTAGGACCCAGTGGATTCCAAGGCTGCCGCCAAGTGCCCCTCTGCTCTGTTAGATGGCTCAGAAGCTGAGCATCGGCCAAGGTCACACAGAGGGGCGCCGGGGAGCCCCACCTCTCAGAGGCTCCTTCAGATGAGGTGGGAGTGGGGGCACCAAGGACAGAGCTAGGGGCATCCAGGCTAGGGACCGGAGGTGCTCCTGGGGAAGAGACCCTCCCAGGGGGAGAGACCTTCCCAGGAGAGAGGGGCCAGGTCCTGAGCGTGCAGAGTGGGGAGTGGAGGGGGGCGCAGCGCGGGCCATGGGATCCCGGGTAGACAGAACCACTGACTCCCGCCTGCCCACCAGCCTCAGCTTACCCATCTGTTCAAGGGGCCCTCGGGTCCTGCTGGTTGTTCTCCACAGGAAGGAAAGCCACCCCGAGGCCACTTGGCACAAGTCCAGTCCGCAGGGCCCAGGCCTGACTGAGCAGGAAGGAGTCCAGTGGGGCACGGTCCCCGAACCAAGGTTTCCTGATTCCTGCCCAGGGGTCTGGTTCCCCACAGGGTGACTTCCATCAGAACAGGGATCTTCTAAACAACTGTGTTTATTGCGTCACAAAAATAAGGCATCTAGGGCACAAAACCAGGGGACAGGTTTCCACCAAAATAGAAAGGTGGGTTTGGAAGGCTCTCAGGTGGGGACACAGGAAACGCACCTGTGTCTACCTCGGGGGCCCCAGGAGGGCTTCCTGTGCCCTAGGGCCTCAGAGTTAGCTTTTTGGTGTTATTTCTAAATAAGGATAATCAGAGAGACGTGGTCAGGCTTGACAATGTTCTTCAGTGAGCCACAAACCATAATTATTTTTAATGAATCCTGCTTGGGAACAGTAAAATTACCTTGTGCAGGAGCTTTTGCACGTGTGATAAAAGCACTGACGTGTGGGACTTCCCTGCTGGTCCAATGGCTAAGACTCCATGTTTCCACGGCAGGGGGCATGGATTCAATCCCTTTTCTGGGAACTAAGATCCCCCATGCCACACAGCATGGCCCAAAAAAAAAAAGCATTGATTTGTTCAATTTAAGTGTTTCAAATATGTCCCAGTTTTTTAAAAAATAAATTTTTTTAGATTAAAAAATTTTTTAATTTATTTTGGCTGTGCTGGGTCTTTGTTGCTGAGAGGCTTTTCTACAGCTGGGGTGACTGCGGGCTACTCTCCTTTGCAGAGCGCAGGCCTCTCATTGCCGTGGCTTCTCTTACTGCGGAGCACGGGCTCTAGGGCAAACGGTCTTCGGCAGCTGCAGTTCCCAGGCTCTGGAACACAGTAAACGCAGTAGTTGTGGTGCTCACGCTTAGTAGCTCCGGGGCATGCGAGATCTACCCGGATCAGGGATCGAACCCACGTCATCTGTATTGGCAGGTGGATTCTTTCCCAAGCCATCAGGGAAGCCCCAAGCCCCAGTTTGGATAATTATGTTGAGGTACCAGCATGCCTTGGAGATACTGCAGGTTGTGTTCTAGACTATGTCAATAAAGCGAGTAACAAAATAAAGCAAGTGACATGATTTTTTTTTTTTTTTTTGGTTTCCTAGTGCACATACCACATATTCCTAGTATACCACAGTCTATTTAGTGTGCAATAACTATGTCTAAAAAACAGTATACATCCTGTCGACTGAAAAAATCCACAACCTAAAAGTTGAGAATTACAGTTTTCTAAAAAATTGTTTTGGCTGCGCTGTGTTTTTGTCGCTGTGCCTGCGGGCTTTCTCTAGTTGTGATGAGTGTGGGCTACTCTCTAGCTCCAGTTTGGGGCTTCTCATAGCAGTGGCCTCTCTCGTTTCACAGCACAGGTTCTGGGCCTGCAGGCTTCAGTAGTTGAGGTGTGTGGGCTTAGTTGCTCTGGGCCACGTGGCATCTTCCCAGACCAGGGATCAAACCTGTGTCCCCTGCGTTGGCAGGTGGCTTCTTAACCACTAGACCCCCAGGGAAGCCTGAGAATTATGTTTTATTGGGTGAACATTCTGAGATAGCTTGGAGGGACTGCTCCAAAGAGGTAAGGAATGAACCAGGGTATAGAGGAGTTTTTGCAGTAAAAACCTGGTAGTGGGATCATTCAAAGATTACTGCTAATTAAAGGAAACTAGACATGTTGAGTTAATGAATTTAGCGCTTTTCTATGTATGGAAAGATGTAAGAGTCTAGGTTCACTGAAATAATTCCTCTGCTCCACACCTGAACGATCTAGGGCCCGTATCCTATTCTTCCCCATCCTGGTTCCTCAGGGTGCACCGCTGGGCGTGGCTGCAGTGGTTGATGGCTGGATGGCCACCGCATCCTTTGTTCATTGATATGGCAGGTCACATTCTTTATCCACATACTTAAAAAAATACTTTATTGCTAAAAAATGCTAACTATCATCTGAGCCTTCGCTGAGCGGCAAATCTATCAATATCAGCTAGGAAAACAATGCACAACCTAAGAGCTGAGAGGTATGTTTATTTGGGGACCTTCTTGAGGAGTGTAGTCTAGGAAATAGCCTTTCAGAGAGCTCTGAGGAAACGTTCCAAAGAGGCAAAGGGAGAAATTGGGATATACAGGATTTTTGCTGGGAAAAAACCAAACAAACAAATAAATGAAACTTGAGTCAAACATCAAAAGACTACTGCTAATCAAAGATTACTGCTAATCACAAATATCAGACATCTCGAGTTAATGGTTTTAGTGTTTTCTCTGGACGGCAAGATGCAAGAATCTGGGCTCAGTGCAATTATTCCTTTGATAGGCATCTCAGCTGTCTAGCGCCAGTGTTCTGTCCTTCTCCATCCTGCTTGCCCTCAGGGTGCACAGCAAGGGGGCTGCCGCAGTGACTGATGGCTCCGATGGCCGAAGCATTCATCATTCACCGAAATGGCGGGCAGTAATTTTTGTCCACAAAAACAAGATCTCAGATCACAATAACAAACATAATAATAGTAGTGTTTCCCCCAATTACCAAACTGTGACACAGACATGAAGTGAGAAGATGCTGTTGGAAAAATGCAACCAATAGGCTTGCTCCATACACGGTTGCCACAAATTTGGAAAAAAAAAAAACAAGTGGTATTTTTGAGGAGCAATAAAACAAGTTTTGCCTGTATTTCTTCATTTTTTGAAAAGTGCTAGGTGCCTCAAAGAATGGAAAAGGCCCCAGGCCCTGGCAGACTTCTGGGAGGCTCTGTATTGCTATTAACAGAGTTCTTTGCTCCCACCTCCTCTGAACCTCAGTCCCCTTGCCCCAGCCCCTGGCTAATGGGATGAGTTGCTGCAGGGCCGCCATCCAGCGAGCAACCAGTACAAGCGCACAGCTACCCTTTGTGTGGCCCTGACCTTGAACCCACCCCTTTCCCGGCTCCTTCCATGACTTTCTCCACCACCAACACACTTGTAGGGCAGGAACAGTCATTTCCATCTGGTTTAAAGGGGTAGGTAACTTGTCCTAGGTCACACAGCTGGTGGAGGCAAATGCTCTAGACAGCTTTTTACCTATAATGCTATGCTCAGGATACCTGCATATGGGGTGGGGTGAGAGCCTGTCCCAACCACCAGACACACGGGTGTACAAGTCCCCTGCTTTCATTAAACTCTCTGGGCCCTGGGTCCTGCCTGTGGCCTTGGCCTTGAAGCACTGACGCTAGGTGTAAGGTAGAATCGTGTCTCAGAAAGGCTCAGAGACCTCTGGAAGCTGCTGGGCCTGCTAGGCCTCGGGCTAACAGAGCATCCTGGGCTGGGGTCAAACGCAGGCACTCAGTGAAGGGCCCAGTTCTATGTCACACTGTTGGCAGGGGCTGTAATTCAATCTCGAGCAGTTAGGATTTCAGTCCAATGGCCTCTCTCCACCCACATTAATATTTTAAGGCTCAGAACTGAAACTGGGGTGACTGGGTTGAGTGCAGCCTGGGAGGGGGTGGTAAGCAGAGCCCAACCAGGGCTCTCCTTCTGCAGTCCTCTAGGAAATCCCCACTGTGCCAAGTGCCTAGGACTTTCTGGGTCAAAGGTGCTTTTGGTGCAGAAGGATGGAGTTCCCCTATATTCAGGGGGAGGAGTCCTGGGTGGGTCCCTGGGTCCTGTCCTTAGTAGCTGCCTGCCTTGGACAAATTGTTTTACCTCTGGGGTGAATCTCAACCTTCTCACCTGAGAGACGAAGTGCTAATTATATTTAACATACTGCTGGCTTTGAAAGTTCAAAGATGCTGGATACAAGTGTAAGGAGCTTGCCTATGGTCTGCCCAGTGACTTCCCTGCCAGGACTCTCAGGCCAGACCACAGGAACCAGTCTTCAGGAAGGCCAGAGACTGGGCAGGGACCTCCCAATCGCCCCCACTCCCCTGTTCCCTGATCCATCCTAAGGCCCATCACCCATACCATGTGTCTGCTCTCAGACAGAATTTAGCATCAAGGAGCTTTCAGAAATTTTTTTCTGATGTCCTAGAAGAAAAGACTTTATGCTTGGAGCACACTCCTCCCAGCACCAGCATCTGCCATAGCAAATTTCTCTCCAAGCCTTGTCCACATGTGCACAAGCGATCACATTTTGGTGATCAGAATGTACACTGCATTCTCGTCTTACACAGTATTGTCTTCCGAGGCTGGTTTGCTACAAGGATGTGCATTATTCATTACTCAATGTCAGCTGCTGGATAAGAAGCCACACCAAGCAGCGACTGCACGTAACAACAGAAGGGTTGGGGTGTCCTGCTTGCTGCACACATAATGTGCATCCATCCGTTCACCCTTCACAACAACCCTGTGCCCTGCGAATGATAACCCATTTTACAGCTGAGGAAACTGAGGCTCAACCCAAAGTCATAAAGTTAGCAAGTGCTGAGCCAGGATTTCATTCGTTCAGCAAATATTTCTTTTTAAAACCTTTTCCTTTTTGGCTGTGCTGCATCTTCATTGCTGCGTGGGCTTTTCTCTAGTTGCAGCAAGTGGGGGCTACTCTTCTTTGCAGTGCATCGGCTTCTCATTGCGGCAGCTTCTCTTGCTGCAGACCACAGGATCTAGGGCGTGCAGGCTTCAGGAGTTGTGGCACGTGGGCTCAACAGTTGCAGCCCCAGAGCTAGGAGCAACTAGAGCTCTAGAGCACAGGTTCAGTAATTGTGGTGCATGGGCTTGGTTGCTCCACAGCATGTAGGATCTTCCCAGACCAGGGATCGAACCTGTGTTTCCTGCATTGACAGGTGGATTCTTTACCACTGAGCCACCAGGGAAGCCCTTTTCAGCAAATATTTCTGGCATACTGAAGGCACTCAAGGGAAAAATGAACCCTTCCTACCAACCTCACTCCTGAACATTTAGGTTATTTCCAGCTTTCTTCAGTGAGAAATACGTGGTGATGGCCAGTTTTGTACACGTATTCGGGGCTTTTTGCTGCTGACGAGTTCTTGTTCAGGGAGGAAGTCTTGGAGATGGGTGCTACCTCAAGGGTTGTGGGCATATTTATCCTTCTCGATTTCTCCTTTGGGTAGTGATGTGTCTGACATTTTTCCTAAACACCCACTGTGTGTTGGATACATCATCACAGATGATTCAGGAAAGTTGCTCCTATTATACTCATTGCAGAGGTAAAAGCAGCCTGAGGTTCCTGACTGCCTAGGAGAGATGTCTTCTCAACCTTTCAAAGCCCAGCTCGAACACCCCCTAATGTAAAATTTAATATTTTAGCATTACCATGCCAAGCTACCACTGTCTCTGCCAGGGAGGTTTTGCGTGGAGTTGACAACCCCAGGGCTAAGGGTGGGCCCTGACTGGCCGGGCCCAGGATGGGCCATTGAGAGCAAGTCCAGGAATTTATTGCGGGGAGTTTTGTATCCATACAGGCATGATGCTTCTCACATGAAGGAACCAGGACACCTGCCTTACTCTTCACCTTCTTCACCGTAGCCAAGGGTCCTCGCCTGAGTCGTTCAGCCTTCACAGGACAGTCTCCACATCCATTAAATGGAAGCAGTAATGGACATAACTTTCCAACACCTTTAACGAGGCAATTTCTTATTCCTACAACGAATTGTGATCCCACAGGAAGCTGTGGGTTCTAATAGCCCACACCAGCAGACAGAGGCCCCTCAAGTGACAGAGGCCCAGCCCTCACTTCTGTACCCCTTCCTCCCTGCCACGTTTCAAGCATTCCTGTGAGATTACCAGGCCGCTGCCACGGGACAGTGGCAATAAAGGCCTGTCACCTGGGCAGACCATAGACACAGCCCCACCTTCTCAGGGCTGGTATTTTTAGACAAAGTCCTTGGCCCTCTTATCTAAATGGCCTGACTGGAGACCTTGACTTCTCAGCTTTCCCAACATCCAGCTCCTCCTCTCCCCAAAGTGCTGGGTCGGCTTCCAGCTCCGTCCAGTTCAGTGTCCAGGCCCACCTCCACAGCTGTCTTGACAAAAGCCCCCTTTCATCATAATCCTTTGTTCAATGAGCCCCCCCCCCCCTTTTTTCCCCTCTTGGAGCAAGTGCAGCCAAGCGCACACTGCTAAGAAGAGATGTTTTCTTCCTGAAGACTGTGAAATCCGCACACATAAGCCATTTCCTGTATGCCAGGCGCTGAATTTCCTAAGCAACCAGAGAAAAGAGGATCCGTAATTTTTAAATGTATCCGTACTCCAATTACTTTTGGAAAGGACTGGGGCGCCGGAGCAGCACATGGGATAAATGGAGAGGGGGGGCCCTGAACGCCCCCCCACCCCGCCACCTCCGCGGGCAAAGGTGCGTTAGTCACAGTCACAGGACTGCCTCCTGTGCGGGGGCGGGCGGGGCGGCCTCCACAAAGCCAGGAGCCCCCGCGACACTCACCTTTGGCCAGTGTTCAGGGAGGTCGCGGGGACGCCGCCCCGCCCTCCCCGCGCCCATAGGCCCAGGCATCATCAGCACCACGGACAGGGAAACTGAGGCTTCAGAGGGTAGGGCCGGCGGCGCGGCCTTGAACCTGTCTTCCCCCTTTCGGGCCTCGGCTTCTGACTTGGGGACAATAATTTCTCACGCTCCAGCTTGGACGGGGCGTGGCCATGCTTCGCGGAGAGCGGAGCCAGCGCCGGGAAACGTTCTAAAAACACACGTACGGAGCTGCAGAAGGAGGTGCCTCGCTCCAAGGTCGTGGGGAAAGAGAAGCCGGCCTCCGGGTACCCACTTCCTGCCTGCCTGCCCCCTGCCAGGCCCCAGCCTCTGCTATCCTGCAGGTTTCGAGGGGGGTCCAAGCAAAGTTTCAGCCCCCAAAGCCGAGGTCTGGCTCTCCCGAAGCTCAAGGGCCCCCCGGCCCCCGACCGCTCTCGGGGAGCCCCCAAGCGGGTTTACTAGCTTTCTCCATCCTTGCGACCCCAGAAGCCGGCTCGACGCTCCGCCCCCTTGAGACCCCGCCCCTTCTAGGCCCCGCCTCCTTCCCCCGCAGCTCCCGGTGTTGGCAGGGAGGCGGGGCGGGGCCGGTGTGCTCCCGCAGCCAATGGGAAGGCGGCGTGGAGAGGGCGGAGGCGGTTGTGATGCGCCGGGGCCGGCGAGCCGCGGCCAATCAGCGGCGAGCGCGAGGGCGGGCTGTGACGCGGCCGGCGCTCCTCGTGCGGCGGCGGTATAGGAGCGAGCGCCACGGCAAACGGGACCAGCCGAACGCTGCCGCCGNGGGGGTGGGGGGGGGCTCTGCGGCCGACTAAGCCTCCTTTCTCTAGCCCTACAGGGGCCAGATCCAGTAAAACGGACCCCGCGGCCCCTCAAGGCCACCCTCCCACCCCAGGCCTGAAGGCAGGCTGTTGAAAACATACCGGTGTCGTGGGAAAGCAGTCTCTTCTAAGGAGAACAATACTGTTCAGTCACAGAGTACACTTTGTACAGAAGCTTAAAATGGGTCCGAAAGAAGTGAAAGTGTTGGTCGCTCAGTCGTGTCCGACTCTTCGTGACTCCATGGGCTGTAGCCCACCAGGCTCCTCCGTCCATGGGGATTCTCCGGGCAAGGATACTGGAGTGGGTTGCCTGCCCTACTCCAGGGGATCTTCCCAACCCGGGGATCGCACCCGGGTCTCCTGCATAGGCAGGCGGATTCTTTACCGTCTGAGCCACCCAGCAAGCCCGAAATTTGTCTAGCAAGTCCCTTTGGGTTTAGGGCCTTGAATGAAGGAGGGATATTGTGGCCGGCTTAAAAAAAAAAATCACTTGGTGACTTTTGCTTTTAGTTCCTCTAGTCCAAGATTAGATCTCTTTCCTGCCGAAAGAGACATTTGTATAAGGTGAAGGGGTGGCCTCTGTTCATTCCTCACTAACCATGCAGACATGTAGGTGGGTGAGAAGCCAAAATTAGGATATGTGGCTCTAAAAATAACTATTAAGAGGAAGGTAAAAAGATTTTGCCCCCTTTTTTAAGCTTAGAAAACTTAATCATAAGTTTAAATTACAAGAAGTGTGTGTGTGTGTACGTACATATTCAGGCTTAACAGAAAACATAAATTTGGTTTTTGTCAATACTGCACTTTTGAGATGACCACTTAGCGTTTAGTAGGCTTCCTTCTGTTGAGACATTTAAAAATGTGTGGTTGTGTATTGCTAATTTTCTTTTAACTGTTTGACTCGGTTGGGTGCAGTGTCTAGAAACTGGCTGGCTGGCTGCCACCAATAATTCTGAAATCCAGTTTTCGTCATTTGATTCCTTTTCTGTGCCCAGTGTTTCACCAGAGCCGCAAATGCAGCAGAATTAACTGACCTTCACTTTCTTTTTGTGCCAGTGGCCTTTCTTACAGATATGCTGAGGAGCAGTGAGAGTTGAAGAGAAAGGAAAGCCCAAGAATTGCCTAATTAAACGTTAGGGCAGGGTTTTGTTTTTTTTGTTTTTTTCTCCCCAAATGAAACTTTCTTCCATGCTATCACATTTAGTTAGGCCTGAGAATTCTCTGTGAGAGGGTTGCCCCCTGTGATGCTCGGATCACCCAGCTGTGCAGTGGACGGTGTAACGGGGCAGTGGCTCTGAGCCGACCTTGGAGCGGGCTGCCCAGCCTCTTGAACCCACTGCCTACTCCAGTGCTCTCTCCTGTTGCCTCTGAAAACATCTGGACACCCTGGATCCAGCTGTAGGTGTTTTTGTGACCCCTTTCTGAGGAGTGTCACTCATTAACGAAACCTTTTGGGTTTTGCATAAATCTGACAATCTAAAAGCTTAGAGAAAAAAAAAAAATAAAAGCTTAGAGGATGTTGATGAAAAAACTAATCAGTCGCCAATCTAGGAAAGAAATGGGAAGTTTTATTCGAGCGAGGCTGAGCCTCGTCGTAACCCAGAGACAGTCTCTGAGAGCTCTAAGAACTGTTGGGGGTGTGGGGAGCTGTGTGTACGTGGCCAAGAGCGACCTTGCTAACAAGTACACGTCTCAGCAGAAGGTTGCTGCTAATCAGGAGGAACAGACATCTGTGTTAATGATGTCAGTGTGGGAAGGTGCAGGAATCCGGCTTTGTGAAATATTTCTCCTGGAAACAATCTGAGGGCCAATTCTGTCGTTTCCTAGAGCAAGAAGTACCTCATCCTAATCTTTGCCCTGAATTCCTTTTGGGATGTATGTGAGTCAGTAACTATAGTGGCTAATGATTTGATTCTTATAGAACTGGACGGTAGGCAAGATTCTCTACAGTCCTTTCCCTTTCGGTATTAATTTGACCAAGGTTTAGGAGGCATTTGGTGAGTAATTCCATGGTGCTCGCAATGCTCATTCCCAGGTCAGGGGAGGATTTCCTTGATAGACCCCTTGATGTGCTGTTAGTGGACTAGGCCCTCTGAATAGTAACCAAAAGCCTCTGGACCACGTATCTTAGTAGTCTGTTATGCTCTAAGAGACAGCTTCCTCTTGTTGCTTCTTCCCACATGTAGAGCTATACTACTATAATCATTGGTTTTACAGAGCTATATACTTAGTCAATCATTTCAAATTATCTAATGGCCATTAATTTTATTGGAGGCTTAGTCACACATTTGGTAACTCAGGAGACAGTAATCTTATAAAATAGGCAGAATGCAAATAATATAGCTAGTGACATTAACAAGGTCACGAGTGAGTATTTAAACTAAGATCTTGTGTTAGGTGCAGCCCAGTCTCTTCTGGGCCAATTGCTGTCTTGAAGGGAAATGATGTATTGGCATTGTAAATGTGATATATCTATGTAGGATATACTTTAAGGGAAATGATATATTGGCACTAAAGTTTACCGAAGATGTCTGCACATGCAAGGTGAGTGAGCCCTGAGAGGACTGAGACAGGAAGGATCAAGAGGAGTTTCGCCGTTGGCTCCAGAAGAAGGAAAGTGATCTTTAGGGTTGAGTGGGCATTTCTGCCATTGGGGAAGGCTGGTTAACAATGTAATACTCCAGGGGGGAGGGAGGAGGCCGAAATGGGCAGAGAAGAATTGTGTTAAAATTTTTCATGTCTTGCCTTAAAATACAAATTTTGATTTCATCAAAAATGTTTTGTTTTTTTCTTCAAGAATCGGTAATCTTGGAAGACACAGCTTTCCTACTGGCTTGGTGGACCTTTTAGAATAATGTTGTATGGTGTGGTGTCAGCCCTGTTTTCTGGGATAATGTAGTTATGGAATGAGTTGAACGAGGAGAAATGATGTGTTTTAGGGTATAGAAAGTGGGTGATGCCTAGTTTTAAAAAAAAAAAGACAGTTTAGAGTGGGGAGAGGGGTACACCTGTTTGAAATTCAGTGGCCATCCACAGCCAGCTCCTTTCTAGGTTCTGGCGATCACGGCCCCTGGCCCCTGTCTCCAGCCCCCGCTTTCTGCTGGGTGCTGGTCCGTCTTTGGTTTATGAGTGCTTGCTCAGCTCAGCCCAGCCAGTCTGTCCCATGTTTAACCCTTTTGTTCCTCCCCCACCCTGGAATATGCTTCTCCTGCTTTTTTTTTTTTTCTTTTTCTTTGAACTATTAATGTTAACAGCAGCCTGCTGGTGCCCCAGGGTTATTTCTCGGTCTTCTCATTCTCTCTGGAAGCCTTTGTCAACACTCGATGGCAGCTAAACCCTGGTGACCTGCTTCTGCGCCCACACCTCCCGTCTGCTCCTGCCTTGCTGTCCTGGCTCAGACCCTGTAACAGGAGGCGCTTGTGCTGTGGGTTGCCTCACCCTCGTTCAGTACCCCATGGCCAGGGATTTCTCAAGTACCCTGACTCCTTTGTTTGTAAGTTTACTGTGGCTTCTGTAGCTGGAAAACAAAATCCAAACTTGTTTGCGTGTGTTACACTTGGGCCCCAGCCTTACTTTTTCAGAGTGGTTCGTTTTTTGTTATTGTCTTATAAATTTCTCCTTTCCTCTAACCAGCGACAACGAACTGAGCTAGTTACACTTGACCTTGTATTTCTTGAATGAGCTCTGTGTTTCCAGGCCTTTCTTTGCTCCTACACTCTACTTGGCAGCCCAGTGTCTGCTTTTAAAATACCTCCTTCAAGGCCTGAGTTAGAGAGCCAGAAGAATTAATTTCTTCCTCGCTTAGGTTCCTTCTATAGCACTTTCTGCATAGACACCTTTGTGTCACAGCACTTACCATATTGTCTGTTTATTCGTTCAACTGTGTTAGATTGAATTTTTAGAGGGAGGTCATGTTCATCTTTACATCTCCAGCGGTAGAAAAGCGCCTGACTTTAGCCCCTGGATTTTAGCTTAAATTGGCTTCTTTTCTGTCCTTCTAATGTGATGACAGGGATCTTTGTCATCAGACTGCTGGTTGCCCAAGTCCCTCCAGCTTAGAGTGGCATAGGGAAAGATAAAAATTATTGTAACATGAAAATTGTCCGTAATGAGCTGACCCCTTGAGAGTTTTCTCTGTGCCCGGACATCATAGCTGGACACCAGCCTGTACCTCTGCCATCAAATCAGTGTTACTGTCACTCAGTGCTGGTTGGTAAAGCGGTTGTGAAATGTAATTGTCAGTCTTGCAAAAGATGCATGATTCTTGTAAGTTTGAGGAAAGAAATGTTTGAGGACTGAAAGTTTCACACATGTCCCTCCACAGCCAACTACTAGTTAAGAAATGATGGGGTAGATGGTACCACAGGCTCTTCAAAATTGAATCGTTTGAGTATCAAGACAGAGAGGCCCTTGAAAAAGACTGGCAAAATCTTCAGCTGTGTTTGCACAATTCTACAGCAGAAGTTAAAGAAGGAGTGAGTTGTACTTTATGGTGCCATCATAAATGTTTTTGGAAAAATTAAGCCAAAATTCTCTACTTGGTTTCCTTTTTATGTCATAGTTCCATTTATAACCTACATTATGTTACATGTAAAAACATTAATGATTGTTTCATTTTTCAAGATAAAGTTTCATTTACACTCTGTTTTTACTACACACTGAAAATTTGGTCCTTTAAGTGGCTTTTACTTCTTTCCAAAAAAAAAGAAAAGAATAAACTTTAGAGCAGTT